CGCTATATTTAGGCTGAATGTCCATCCATGTATATCCCTTAAAGAGAGCAACGATGATAGCCAAATATAAACAGCTTCGAGGCAGAACATCTCGTTCACCCCGTTATTTGGCCAACATGAGAATATGGAACCCGGGGCAGGTTTCTAGCAAGTGAAAACGCTCGTTGAAACGGTAAGATGTTAGAAACACGTTACAGTGTTTACACAGATACATATAACCGCCACCAAAAACAAATTGTTGATATGTGAAACTTACTAAAGATTTCCTAGCCGGGCAGTATACGTTCTTCAGAAATGATTAAAAATTAAGATTGTCAGAGGTTAATTAGGCAATTTTACGTTCAGCCCACCTTTCAATCGGCGGTTATGAAACTGAAATACAAGCCTTTCCGCCAACCTAAAGATATTTGTAAATTAGAAGTGTTTTTTCCAACAGGTTTCCTGATTTCGTTTTATGGAAGTTCGATATTTGGGCTTACATGTAAAACTAGACCAAACTGTTACAATTGAATTACAGACGCCAACTTTACAAGCTTACAAGAGGAACTTGAAGTTTAATTTAAGATTGTTCTTCGAATAAGAATTGCTGCTTTTGATTTAAACAACTCGAAGTGTTGTAATCATAAATCACCTCGCAAAACCCTCTGTCGGGTGAAAGCGCAATCTGATTGGCTCCACAAGGGCCATCTAATGAGATCGATAGACAGCATCAGGAACTGATCAATCTTTGAAAATGGAGTATAGTGTTTTGTTTGATAAATTGGTCAGTAGGTAACCGTATTTTCCGATTAAGCTCCCCGGCGTTTATTTCAAACTTCAAGAGCTTCGTTGATCCGGCGGAGTATATTAGAGACTTTAATCATTAATTTTTAAAGCTAAATATAAACCTCTGTTTATTATGCCTCGAAAATGAATCCCTTGAAAGTCTTATTTAAAAATCTACAAGGGAAACCCGGCGTTAACATTTGGCACCCGGCGTTAAATCGAGAAAATACGGTATGCTAAGACGATTAAACTGTTCGGTGACAGTATATATCGCCTTTGATAGTTGCTCGCCGTCTTATTGTTCAATACTTGCCAGTTCTGTTATTGACAGTCGAATGCTTCACGACAAATGCATATCAATTGCTACCGATGATAATGATAATGATAATGATGATGACGGAAGACGATTCGGACGATTCGGACCGAGCACTGAGGCATTTGCCAATCTCTTGATTCTTTATGCTGAGTACCATTTTCTTTGCCGCTCACATACTGTCGAATTTGCCAGAGTTGACTTGCATGAAGCCTGCTTGCCTCTATGTTGGGCCTTTCCAAAAATATGCGGATATTTTATGGGATATTTAGAAGTTTCCGAGATATCAACTGTTTACTTATATTCGCTGTTTATACTTGAAACGAACACAGTTCAATGCCAGAACCAATCCAGTTGAGCAATTTTCCACTTGAAAAATGTATTCAATATCACTAATAACACTATAGAGGAGTAATTCTCCAAAATGGCGGGTGCTGGTAACATCGAAGCACCTAAATCGTCTTCCTCTACTCTTTCTACTACTGCAAGAAAATATTGCGTAGCCTAAGGGATTCAAAATCAATTTATTTTTGAAACAAAAAGAAGAGATATTGTTAAGAGGATTTTTCAAGATATTTATTAGAAAAACTTTTGTTATATTTAGAAATGTTTTGAGAATTTCGGGGAAAATATTAATTTAGACGATTTTACGTGATGTTTGTGGAAAGGCCTACTCCATGTCCACTCGTGCAATAGTTAGAGCTTGACATGATTTACACAAGACTTTGAAACCGTGCCAACATAGTAGATAATTTTTTAGGAAACTGGAGGGTTTCCAGAATGTGTGAAATTTGTAGCACTTAGAACCTGGTACAAACGTTTCAGACTGTGCAAATGCGTGCGAACTGTTTCGATATTTATTCTCAACGTGTAAACAGGGCGCTTCCCTTCTGTCGAATTCTGACTGGACGATCAAAAACCCGGCTCACGACCCATTAAATTGCGCGGGACTGGTCAAGCCATTTTTCATGTGGTGCTGTCTGAATACAAATTTAGATTTCGAGTAATCCTTTTTTAATTGCAGATTTTGACGTAAGAATTTCACAAATTCTACAAAAACAACATTTGCCAAGGATTTCGGCCAGCAATGCCTTTTGTTCAGGAATCTGCCGTTCTTCTTCGATTTGTGGTATCGCTAGGCATTTTCATCGTCGTTTGTACAACTAATAGTCATTCTCCAGACGACCCTCGCCGTTATGGCTCAGCTTCAACCAAGGTTCACTCTTCAGCATCTCGAGTGGCGAAGATTGATGGAGATGTATTCCTCGGCGGACTCGTTCCAGTCCACGCTAAAGGAAATGGCTCGACCATATGCGGTGAACTGAACGAACAAGTTGGAATTCATCGAGTGGAGGCGATGTTGTACGCTATGGACCAGGTAAAAGTCTTTAATCTTTATTTTCTTCTATTCTAACAGCATGTGTCTCTTCACGGATGTTATGTAAACAATTCCTCTCTTAATGGTGCTTTTTTCTTCCCGCGTTCCATACATTTAATGCTGTGAACAATTTTAATCCGATCTCTAGTGGCCCTAAAAGATTATCCCGTTAAATCGTCTTCAAATTTGTTATGTTTCTTTTTTCAGAAGCTTCGCTTCAAAAATTCGAAAACGTGTTAATTCTACTGACTTAATTGAACTCTGATGGATGAAACAACAACTTGAAGCAAACCAATCGTGGATGTGTCAAAGGCGATTTTCTAACCTACTGCGGAATATAATCTGTCTGAGTGAACTTCAGCAAGCAGCAATTTAGTCACACTGTTCAACGACGCATTACACTCGGTTTTTTGTAGATAACATTTCTTAAAAAAAAATAAGTAAATAACGTGTTTTATTTTAAAACGCGTTTATTCCTTTATTTACTTCAGCGCCTTTATATCGCAATCAGTTAAAATCCAAAAGCAAAAGTAAAAAGATAACAACAATTAATGCAAATTTTGCTCGTGAAAAGCAAAACCAATCACCATTTTCTGTTGTAATCACATATTTTGCGCTGGTAACGAGTTTTGCCGAAGATTTGCATTTTTACAATAAGAACCGCACAGTTGATTATCATCCATTTTTGAAGTGTTTGCGAATATTTCGTTTAGATCCTGAAACGTAATTAAGTGAAAAGGGCGACTCATAAATCATATCTCTATAAAACGCTGAAATTTAACATCTTTTGTGATCCTTTCCAGCTAAGGACATACAGTGCAACTGAATCTTTTCCAGTCAAGAAAATCTGTGTACATCTTAAATAAAAAGACCAGGATCGGAACAAACATTTTGTCGTTTCTGATGCTGTATCCAATAACTAGGTTATTACCCTGAAGGTCTTTAATTAATTGAATTTACTTTCTGTGACATTACAGCAGGTGTTTGTTGACATTGCAGTAATTTACAACTTTATATTTCTATAACTTGTCAATTTCTTTATAATACGCGTTTTCAAATATGATAAAAGGGCACTTTACATACACATAGCATAGTTATAGAAGTCATAACGTCAGATTCTCAAAATTGAAATAACCAAATATGAAATTTCTCTTCAAATTAATAATCCGCCTGCCAAAGTCTCATGCTGTTTCGAAATAAAAATATTTTCTTGCTCGATCGTTCGATGCTTCAGGTACAACGGAAACCACTGATTTGTCTTCTGTTCCCCACGCGAATGTTGCGGCTTCCTGATAGAATTGAAAATGAAATTCGTCAACACTGAAGCCCAGTCAGTCGCGGCAAACGTGTGTTCTGAGTTCATTTCCAGGGCTGTATACGAACCAAGTGGCCCTTAACCTTCAGGCCCGAGCATATCTCCAGTTTCTGTAGCATGAAGCGACTAGGAGTATTTCTACTCCCCCCTTGATGGGTTGCTAGTCCATCGCAGGGTTACCCCCAGCATTAAATTCGCCGGTACCCATTTATACACCTGGGTAGAGAGAGGCAATGTGAGAGTAAAGTTTCTTACCCAAGGAAATAACACAATGTCCTCTGCCAGTGCCTGAACCCGGTCCGCTCGATTCGGAGGCGAGCGCGCTAACCATGAGGCCACAGCGCCTCCAAAACACAGCTGCATGAGATAGTTCTAACTTATTTTTTTGAATTGCAAATTTTGCTTTTTCCCTTAACAAGGTGAACAAAAACAGCAATCTTCTCCCTAACATCACGCTTGGCATGGAGATCCGTGACGACTGTGGAACGGTGAACACGGCCTTGGAGCAGTGTCTAAACTTTGTTCTCGGGACACTGACCAACAAGGAACAGATCTGTAGCTCCCTGCAGGCCTCGGACGCAGTGAAGAAAAAGACTACTCTGGTAGGGGTGGTAGGGCCTTCATACAGCACCACCACAGTACAGGTGAATGTCAAAATATCATAACCAAGAGACGGCGAAGAATGAGAGAATTAATCTCCCATATAGGCCTTATAATCAAGGTTATTTCTCTCAATTTATTTTTAGACATGGCACTTAGTTCGTTACCACGCGTTACCACGCGCGTTGCGTGGATGTCATCGTGGAGGTTGAAAATACGTGCAAAGCCACTTAGGTGCAGAACTCGCGTCATAAAAATATCATATTAACCAAGTGCGAGGGCCGTACTGGGGGAATATCGGCCCGAGGTCTTGACGGTACGGACCGAGCGGAGCGAGGTCTATACAAAAAAGACCGAGGGCCGATATTATCCCAGTACGGTTCCGAGCAAGCTACGGTTGATAAAAGATTTATTACCTGACTGAAATTACCCGAAAATCTTCAAGAGTGATCGGGGGGTCATTCGGGGCAGTGTACGTTCCAATACTTAGAGAATATTGGACCGGCAATAGAACAGTCTGACTGGTTAATTTTAGTTATTGGCCCCCTGAACTGGGTATTTCTTGACTTTCCTGGGATTTCTGAAACTGGGATTTCTTTAAAAATAATTTAAGAGGGATTACCTTAGGATTAGGCCTATATGGGGGATGGACTTTTTTACTGTTCATCCTCTCTTGATCACAACCGCGACCGCGACCATTGTTTCGTCTCGCGTCTTCTTCTCTTCTCGTCCGAAGCCAAGCAACATATATCAGCTTCCAACTAAGTCAGCGTTCCCTTTGTAGGTCGCCAGTCTTCTACGACTCTTCGATGTGCCGCAAGTCAGCTACGCTGCGACAAGCGCTGAATTGAGCGACAAAGGCAGGTTTGAATACTTCGCTCGCACTGTCCCCCCGGATTCATTTCAAGCGAAAGCCATGGTGGATATCATTACCTACATGAACTGGACAGCGGTTTTCGCAGTTCATTCACGCGGCAGTTATGGTGAACAGGGCATGCAGATTCTTGAAAAGTTTTCGGCACAGTCAAACGTATGCATAGCTGATCACTGGCAATTAGAACCTGATTTCGCTTTGGAGGACTATGACAAGATCATAGAAAAGTTCCTGAAGGAAAAAGACATTCGCGTTGTGGTGATGTTTTGTAATTCTGAAGATCTACGCTCGATGCTGTTGGCCGCCAAAAGGGCGCAGACGAGAGGCGTGAAAAAGCGGTTTATTTGGCTGGCAAGTGATTTCTGGGGAACAAGATATCGCCATCTTGAAGGGCTAGAAGATATCGCCGACGGAGCCATTACTCTAGAGTTTCAAACCTTTGATGCGCAGCTCAAGCCGTTTTACGACTATTTTTCCAAACTTAATCCAGTGACTAATACGCGAAATCCTTGGTTTAGAGAATATTGGGAGAAGCGGTTTCATTGTAGCTTTGGAAACGATTCGTCGCCTGAACGCCACCCTTGTTATTCCCGAGAGAACTACGTGTCAGTTCTTGATAGATTCGATGCCAAAGTGCCTTTTGTCATTGATGCGGTCTTCTCGTTTGCACATGCGCTTCACAATATGCAAAGAAACGTGTGCAGAGCTGTCCCAGGCTTCTGCTCGGAGTTAAAAAATTTGGATCGCTCGACGCTTTTGTTTTATCTACGTAACGTGTCTTTCAATGGAACAACGGGACTGGTAAGATTTAATGAGAATGGTGATAGCGCTGGAAAATATGACGTTTATGTGTTCAGAAAGTCTCAAAGTTCTTCTTATAAAAGACTTGGCAGTTGGATTGAAGGAGAATTGAATTTCGACCCTAAAGAACTTTTCAATGGAAGTGCTTATCTTGAATCGCATTGTGGGAAACCTTGCGGGCCCCGAGCCATCAAGCGCATACGCGATACGGTCTGCTGCTGGACATGCGAATATTGTGACGCAGACTCGTACGTAGCTAACGAGTTCACGTGCCAGACATGTGATAAAGGAATGCAACCTAATGCCGAGTTTGACGGTTGTGAACCCTTACGTGAAGTACATCTCAGTGGTATCTGGATTGCTGTTGTTGTGACATTTTCTTCGCTCGGAATCCTGGCGACCTCCGTCGTTTGCGTGGTTTTTGTTAAATTCGCTAAAACGCCACTCATAAAGGCCTCCGGACACGAACTCTCCGTTCTTCTTCTTCTCGGAATAGTACTTTGCTACGGCTTCGCATTTATCATGGTCTCGTATCCTAGCAAAGTTGTTTGCGCTATTCAAAGATTTGGTATTGGTCTGTGTTTCTGTGTTTGTTACGCTTCCCTGTTAGTGCGTACAAATAGGATTGCGCGCATTTTTAGCGGAGTAAAAACGCCCTCGTTCATCAGCCCAAAGTCTCAACTTCTGATAACCGCTGTGATCATTGCGCCAGAACTCGCCATGGCGATTACAGAACTTTCAATCCGACCACCGAAAGCCGTGGCTTCGTATGAGCAAAAAGACTTCGTTCTCATCAAGTGTAACATTAGCACTGTAGCCATGGCCAGCCTGTTTGCATACAACGCTTTCCTTATCATCCTTTGTACATTTTACGCGTTCAGGACTCGTAAAACTCCATTGAACTTTAACGAAGCAAAGTTCATCGGTTTTTGCATGTACACGACTTGTGTGATATGGATTGCGTTCGTCCCGGTGTATTATGGTATTGGAGGCGGTTTTGAGGCTGTAGCTCTCGCCTTCAGCTCTATAGTAAGTGCAACGACGATCTTGACTTTCATCTTTATGCCCAAAGTGTACATTGTGATATTTAAACCAGAGAAGAACATCAGGAGTAACTCAAGACTGCGCTCACGGACGAAGTCGCTGGATTTTAACATGCCAGAGTTGGAAAGCGATTGTAACGGTACGTATAACGGCATATGTAATCGTATCCATCAAATCTATTTTGCTCGCGCGCGATTGGTCTAAACGTGCCACGTGACTGACTATGCCCAGCTAAAACTGCGGAACATCCAAGTGATATTCCCCAGTTTTGAAATCTGCGCGTGTTGCGAAAAAATATTTGAAGGACAATGAACACAATAGCCTCTATTTGGCGCGAAAATATGCTCAGATATTTGTTCTTGGACATTACCTGTTCCTGCTCTTGCATTTTATCGGGGCAGAAAAGCAACAGCCGGAAATACGTACGTCTGCCTTCACAGGCTAGCCTCCAACTAGTTGGGATATTTAAAAAGTTTTCCGTCCTATTAATAACATTTCTTTCTTCATTTATAGTGTCCCCAATTCGCACTGAAGAGTTAAATACCACGACATTAAAATAAACTGATTTATCTTTATTTTACTTTTATCTATGATGCAAAGGAAACCTTTGAATTTTACCACTAAATCTTACCTTGCCTTTAGACGTGCACAACTGTTAATCTTGAGCAAAACCGTTTCAGTTCTTAGTTCCGTTCCTGAACACTCCCTTCGAAGCACTAAGGGTGAGTTCAGGAACCGAGTTAAACCCAGGTGAGGGGAGAGACAGAGTCCAGGTTAACTTGGATTGCACATACAAGAAAACAAATGGGTCTATTCGAAACCTGCCAAAAGGCTAAAAGACTGAATCCACCACCCCTTCCCCACCCCAGCGAAAAGCATCAAATAAATATGCGCAAAATACCAGCAATGGTGAAGTCAATGGCAAGCCATACTTTGTACATGCTATAATCCTGCAAGATTTTTCGGCAGCTGTTTTCCAGAAAAACACTTAAGGCTACTTGTAGGGTTCAGCCGTGCGCACGTTAAACATATATTATTCGGTTAAAATGAGGTCATGTCTGCTCAAGAAGAGACCCGAGTCTTGTCAGCGATGGAGGCGCGGTGGCCTCATGGTTAGTGCGCTCGACTCCGGATCGAGCAGTCCGGGTTTGAGCCCTGGCCGGGGACATTGTGTTGTCTTCTTGGACAAGACACTTCACTCTCATAATGCCTCTCTCCACCCACAGGTGTACAAACGGGTACCGGTGAATTTAATGCTGGGGGTAACCTTGCGTTGGATTAGCACCCCATCCAGGGGGGAGTGGAAATACTCCTAGTCGCATCATGCTACAAAATTTGGGATAAGCTCCGGCCTGATGGGTCACTTGGCTCGTATGCAGACGTAATCTTTTTACCTTGTTAGCAATAGATAGCTTCCGTTAATTGAAGATTTCTCTTTGGTGTGATCCCGTAGGTCTGTCTTACCGGACGTCCAGCAGCACACCTGCTACGCCAACCTTGATGATAAACAAGATGGTCAAGAACGGCGGGTCAGTGAAGCAAAATCAGATTCAGCTGCCTCGCTTCACAGCCATCTGACTTGACACTGAGCTGTTTATGTGTATTGGCTCAACTGAGTTCAAAACCAAAGTAATGACAGAGGCAGTCGTTACGATAAAAACCAATCACGAGTCGTACTAAATTCATGTTACCATTGAAAAGCGCGGGAAAATATTGAAACGGTGAAAAGCGCGGAAAAACATGTTGAAGATGAAAAGCGCGGGAAAGCATGCTAACGGCAAAAAGGCGCAGGAAAACATGGGTACTTTCCATTTTGCCAGACCGACCGGTCAGAGACCTGTGGGATACCTGAGGAAAAATGATCTAAAAATGGAACGACATTTTCCGATCAAACCGGGACAACCAAGAGGAATGGCTCTTACCGTTTTTTATTCCTTTACCGAATTCCCTATATAAGTGAAATCTGCTGAAGAGAAAAGTAGGACAATGAACTTGTTTATCTATATGGAACGGCAAATTTTGGTCCGACCGGTCCGACCGGTCAAAGTGGACCACCTCAAGGGGTTTTCCCGAATATTCTGGCGGGAATGAACCGAGACGGACCTTTTCATTTGACTTCCGACCGAAAATTCCGGAATCTTTGGCATAATGGAAGGCACCCCATCTTAAAGGGTTAAAAGTGCGAGGAAAAATTTAAACGGTGAATAGAGAGGAAAAACTTGTAAACAGTGAAAGGAGGGAGTGGAGAGGGGGAGGGGCAAACAAGTAAACGGTGAAAGGCGCGGGAAAAATGCAAACGGTGAAAAAGGCGGGAAAACCGTATGCTCCTACAAAACATTGCTGAAAACAGCACGGAACAGTATCATAGATGGCTGAACTTATGTTTTGACAGGGGAGGGGCTTGGGTACGTTTTGTCATTGTATGTTAAATAAAAACTGACTGGTTTTGAGAAACTATAGTCTAAAAAAAATGCTGTAAAAATTATTCAATTATCAATTTTATCTTTTTTATTAGACTCGAAATTCGTTTTTAGATTTTTTTAAAAGAAAATCTGTATGTATGCTATCATCTTCAGTCTCCTGATTTTACCATACATTGTAATTATTCAATCTTTCTTAAAATGGTTGAGTTAGATAAAATAAAAGTGATCTATAACCCAGACAACTCCATATCAGTACTCTTTATAAAGATATCTGCAAAGAAAAATTTTAGTTTACACTGTAAACGTTAACAAGGCCTTGAGGGGTGGGGGCTACTTGCCAGAAAAATTGGGCAAGACCTGGAGCCATAATCGGGGACCCGATTATGGTTCCTGGTAAGACCACAATCTACGAATTTTTTGGTCACCTCGTTCATGAGATGCTTTTCATACTCAAACGCAAACCAGAACTGAAGGTGCAAACTGAATCAATCGGCGCTAAATTTTTTGTTTAGCAATCCAATTAGTATGTTAAATTTCAGCTGTAGCTAATTTAAATATTGGCTTTTTCTGATAAAGTTGAATCTCCCGGAAGCGACCACCCGAAATGTCAAGCCTAGGTGGTCGCCTAAGGGAGGTGGTCATTTACGAGAGCTTAGACCATATTGGTTCAAAATTTTGTCTCATTAGCATATGGTGACTCAAGAGACTTACCCCATGTTTTAAATGTTTTATCCGTGCGGAAGGTCAATTTCGAGAAATATGTAGTACTTCCCTTAGGAATATTTCTGTCTTTTGTACTACCTAGGAATGTGATAATGTTACAACACCTTATTATCCAATTTCTGCTCTATTATCTGTCAAGTGGTCGCTTACGGGAGGTTAAAAACAAAAGAAAATTTCAAACCGTTTAGTTCTAAAAGTGGTCGTGGTCACTTACAAGAGGTTCCAAATATAGTGATTTGACTTGGAAATTTTTGGTATTTTGGAAAATAGTTCGCTGAGGAGGCAACCGGAGGTTCGATTGTACTTATTTTTTTTTGATAATGGCTTCATGATGACTCTGAAACATCAAGTATTACATCTTTCACTTTTTTATGACCCGAGATGTCCTCATAATTCGTCGTGCTCTCATGGAGCCACAGACTCCCTGCTAATGTCTTACTGACAGTTGCCTTGGTAACCTGACTGAAGATCAGTTCTAGGAGGTAACATTCAGTTAACGTTTCATTCAACACAAGCCTATGGTTGTCTCAAATTTTGTCGCATTTTTATTGCATTAAAATTGTATTAGCAAAGATAAATATTATTATAACGAGGGACGTTAATTAGGAACGCGTTAAATTCGTTAATTCTGGCGTTTATTTGTCGGAAAATATTTGTTGTGTCGTCAACATAAAGTCACTGACCACTAATGCCGCCCGCATGCGAATTCCCGTATTACGGTTGCGCTGTTTGATACAAATTTCCTGGCTGGGAATCAAATTAATATCCTACATTGAAAAATAGAATGAAAATTATAAGCGCCCAAAAGCACGCGAATCTCTCGGGCTCATTTCAGCTAATCCATGCCAGATAAGTGTTTTTTTCCTGAATTAGAAAACTATTCTCTGCCCAAAAGCTGTAATTTCCCGCTAGCCACATTATTTGATTTCTCGATGCCTGAAAGTTCTTAAATAGAACGATAAATAACGACAGTGATGTACCACCGACAAGCTTTGCCACTAGCTTCAGTTGTCCTTTGTTCTAATTGACAAATTTCTATCAAAGATCATTAAGTGGAAAACACCTGCACTGCCTCATAGATGAAACAATTAGAGTGTGGAGTTCTTTTAAACAGATAATCAGAAAATAAACCAAATCGAATAACGTTTGGCAACGTAAAATTCCCGAGAAAATTTTCCCTTACTCGTTCGAAACGAGCTGAGCAACGACGCAAGGGTATAATAATCTTGACAAATCTGTCATGTCGAGCGCGAAGCTTGTCAAACAATGACAGGCTCAATGGGATGCTATTATTTTGTTTTTCATTTCCCCTGTTTCCTTCGCGGGAACACAGGTGTCAACCAATCACACGCTTTGAAATATTTAGTTTCATGCCGCCCAAACTGGTGGCCATGAATTAAACATGCGTCTTCTTTCAAGAATAAACAACGTAGAAGCCGTGAAACTTTTGAGCTGAAAGTCATTTGAAGGATAAAAGTTCCTTTCATATTCGAGGTAAGAGGATTTTGCGAATCAAAATTATTTTGTTTTTTTCTTCTTCTCCTTCTGATATCCTTTTTGACGGTTGGTTAGTAAATGATTCAATTTAAATGACCTTGCTTGTCGGTTTAAATGCAAAATCTGCTAGGTTAAATTATCAGCCACAATTGAAATGCGAGAAATTAAGAGGAGGAACATTTTTGGCAAGAAATGCTCCAACTAGACAGACGAAGACTGTTGATTCATTTGCAAATTGTAGGAAAGATAAATATAATCCTCATTGCAGGGAAATTGGAGCTAACTTGATTAGCTTACGATTCAGCCCATTTGTGATTTCTATGTTGTAATCAGCTTTTAGTTTATATATCTTCGCAAATTGTTCTCAGAGTGTTTACCGCATACATTTCGATGGCTGAGCAGTAAAAAGACTATTCAGTGAGACTAATGTGACACAATGTAGTTGGAAAATACAGTATTTATTTACTTGTAGTATTTTATGCGCGAGAACGTATTTACTTCGGGCAGTGTGTATTCCAGTTCAGAGATTTGCTCCGTATACGACGTTTTCCCTAAATTCTATAGCTTTAACAAAATCACGTGTAAACCGTTTGATCTATTTAGCCAGGATGCATTCTGTAGATTATTGCAACCACAGATATCTATGTGTATATTTGCCTAAGTTGTTTCCTAGGCTAGCGCAAGCATGGTTCATGGCATAAGTATTACCCGCACGGACAGATATTTAAATGAGCAAAGACTGTAGACATAATATGTTCTCAATCGAGAATAAGACTCGATTTAATGGGGAAATCCCTCTTTGTTCTGTCTCCACATTGTTAATGCATCCGATTTTTTACTTTTTCATTCACTTTCTGTGTTTGATTTTCACACGCTCGATCGATGATTCAAACGTCTTCTGGACCCCATGCGTACTGTGAGAACATTGATTTATAACAAGTAGACTTAATTCAATAATGCACAAGGTCTCGCCGCACTGCACAAACGTGTGCTGTACGATATACCTACCTTTAATCAGATAAGCTAAGTGCTTCTTCGTTGCAGCAATTCTGATATGAAGACTTATTCTTTATTTGCCCATTAATTTACTCGTATTTACGGGGTATGACACGGGGGATAGGTGCCAGAACGGAGCCTTCATCCGAACGTCCAGAATAGAAAGATAACTGAACCATCGTCTAAAATAGATTCTCCCGCTTCGTTTGAGTTTAATTTCACTTCAACTCGCAGTTCTACCGACATCTGAGCTGACTTGTATAGTAACTGATGAAAGTTTCTTGACATTCTAAACTCAACAGCAAGATTCAGTTCTTTCAATACAAAGAAAGGTTTGATCATAATACAAAGACAAGCAAAAGCTAATGGCAAAATATTCAATGACTTTTATCTTCGGGTTTCTCTTGACACCGCTTAAAGTTACATGTAAATAGACATATTCAAAGTTGTCTAAAATAATCATTTTAGCTTTTCAAACACGCTGCTGAGTTACAGGAACTGCTTTGCACTAAATGAATCTGATTGGACAATTGGAGATGAAATCTTAGTTTACACTTCAGCACTCTGTGTAAAAGACAATGTAACTTCCTTTTTGCACTTCTTTAGACCAATGAACGGTTTTTCACGTTTGAGGAGGTAATAACAACAAATAATAACTTACGTTATTTATTTCTAGTGTCAGATAAAAATAGGAGTTTCCCGCTGAGCAAGGACAATATTAAAAACAAAACACAATGCAAATATTATCTTCAATCATAAGCTCAATTTAAAATTAAATTTGAGCCCCTCCCCCGTCCTAAATTTCTATGCAAAAATTGGTCTATTGGAATAATATTATTACACAAAGACGAATTAATTCGTCTTTGTGTCGGAAGAGTTCGCTAACGGAAAGGGAGTATAGCTCTTGTGTTCGGTCATTGACAAACTGATGCAAGTGACTAGGCTTAATCAACATATTTTGCATCAGACGGGTTATTTTGAAATTTGTGAGCTTTGATGTCCTGTCAGTGACAGGTAACATACTGAACCGACAAGTAGCCTTGTCTTGCGCTTTTAGGCCTTACTGCTAACAAACAGAAGTCCACTGTGATTGGCGGTTTCCTGGCCAACAGTTCATCATTGCTACAAAGTACAACAAACAAGTTTGATTGTCTATAACATGAAGTGTCCTTCATAAGAGAGGCACCTCGTCGAAGCCATCAGCGCCTTTCAAAGTGCTAAGTATATTCCATCGATAATTGCTGACATCGACTAACAGCTTTCGTCTTTTCAATTTACATGTAAATTTAATAGTGGCGACAAGGAGACCCCGAGACGTTCAATTTTTCCATTAGTCTCTGCAATTAGTTTACCGCTCCGGGAATTTATTGTTAAGCCATTAAGATTTTTATGCCTGATCAACTAGATTGAAGGTGATTAGAAAAGAATACAAACATCGTGTGCGAGCCCGCGTAGACTTACATTTCTTCTAGAAGAGAATATATCGAAGTAATTTTTCTCGTAAATTGAGCAATTTATATGTGTCGCCGATTGAAATAAAAATGAAATGTTGCTACAACTAAATCTATAGGCGTCGTTAGTCCCGCATCAATCGTACAATTGGTCATTCGAACCGGGCAACTGGAGACAGTAGGTAAAAGACAGACTTTTTAAGAACAGCATTAGAACACACGGTTAAATTACAAACATTATACTCATAAAGGGCTTGCACGAGAAATGAATTCCGCTTTTTGTCTTCAGTTTACTGTATTGATCAGAGAACAGTTTTCTTGGATAGCAGGCTGTGAGCTTGACTTCGTTCAGGTTCGTGTGCTCTCGTGAGATCACGGGAGATTCCGAGACAAGCATAAACAAAACCAATGGTCATAATTTTGAAGCTGTGTGTCAGTCACATTCACAAGCGTATTATTTGTCCTGTTTAGACAGAAATCGATTCATATTCCTGTGGACAAAAAGTTCCGCTTTTGTGATATTAGTTTTTATTAGTTTTTTGTCCTAGTTTTGTTGGGGCTCACACAATTTTGTTTGAATCAAAATACTCTGAAAGTGCAAATATTCAAGTCTGGTACATACTCAATTAAGAAACCTTTCACCTGTTTAAAGATTTAAACAAAAACATTCGTTAGTCTAAATAAAGCATATTTTTTTCTCATCTGAACGACCCGAAAAAGTATACAAGTAATGTTCAAACAAAGTGAAATACTTTCATTGAGAAAAATTTTTTGAATTGAGTATTTATTCATTAGTAAAGCTTAGTGTTGTTCCTTCTGGCGTTAATGTTCGGCCCGGTATTCCGTTTTTCTGTCACCTTTTGACTGAGTTGATATTCCACTTGTGAATATTTAATTCGGGCGGAATTTAACAATGATCTTGATTTCCAGTAAAGACGATTCCAAATGAGGAAATGTTTACATGGATTTTAAAGCCTCGTCCCAAGGTAACGCCCAGGCCATTAAAATTCATGTCCGTGGTTAATAGAGCCCGAACACTAAAACCCTTTAATTTTAACTTGCTTGATAATAAAGTCTAGTTTTTCCTAGTTTCTCAAGTAATTTGCTATATATGCACACCTTTTGTTTCGTTTCTGTGTTAAAAATTGAACTATAAATTATTGATCACTTTGCTCCGTAAAGAAAACGACCGCTAACCAAGGTTTCGTTTTCTGCTATATTCTTTGCTTTTTGTGGAAGACAAAGCCCAATTGAACTGCGCTTTTTGTGCACTTTAGTCTCGCTAATTTTTTTGCGGAGGAGTTTGCTTTTACTTATCTCCGCTCATTTGCAAAAATCGTGGGGAAAATTCGCGGTTTTCGTCTCGATTTACTTAATATTTGTCACAGCAGGATAGAACTGTACCAGGCATGGACGAGCTTCACAAGGAGCAACGATTTTAGATGGATTTCGGCGACAAATAATGGCAACATAAAAATTTACTTCAAGGCCTCATTTCGGAAGTAAAGCTATTCGACGGAGTTTGGTACTGAGGTCGGCAAGTCCTGATAAATATATTTGATACTTTTTAACTCAACTTTTAAACGTTGCAGGTCCACACTTAATCAGTGAATTGTATCAGCCTTGTATTTTGACTGTTTACAAATTGTTTCTTGTCTTGGATTTTTATTGCAGCTTGACAATTTTATGTCCCCAACTGTTGGGCGCGCTGTCACGACGAAAAGGCATCGACATGTATGCATGAAAGATGCCTTGAAGGGCAGCTTTACAACCGGTTACCTCCAAAGAACCACAAAACGTACCTTCGTTCAGGATTTCACTCACTTCAAGGTAAGTTCATAATGTTCATTTCAAACGGACAAAACCTTACCTATATTTATGCTATCTCGTAAGTGTTGTACACTATTTCGGTTTATAAAGCTCTGTTATGTTCTTGAACTGCGCAATTATTACGACATACAACAGCTCGCTCAATAATCAAGTTCTAAGCTGATATTTTTATCAATTTCTCCTATGAAAACTTTCCAATTCTTTTCTTCTCCTGTACAAGTTAGTATCTCTTTCTTAGACTGCAAGTTCTTGTTAACTAATGCGTAATCAGTTTAAGAATACCGCATATTTCAACACACCGACACCCACGCGTTGGGCGTAAGGTTTGCTTTTTAGCTCGGTATAAAATTCTTCGCTTTAAAATAAATATCCTCTCTCAACCACGGTGATAACATTATAGCTGACTCATCTCGGTATACCGATTATTAAAATGCCTTTTGTAATCCACAGCGTTCAATATCGAATTTATTTCTTCGTTAGAACCTGATTTAAGCAAAGTTTCACCGTCAACTACAAGCCTTCGAGATTTATTCGAATACTCTAATTTCACATTTTTTTAAAACACGTACAAAAATGTTTACAACAATTGCAACAATCAATAACATTTAAGAATCAGTGAATTGTTATTGTGTTTAAGGTTACTCTTTTTTCCAGTCCGTTGAAACTTTTGACAAAAATTCGCAGTTGTTGTGTTGAATAGGAGTAAGTTGTTTATTATTGTTCGTGGCGTTTCTAGAAAAATCTTATTTAATATTTTATTCGTCTCCTTTGTCGGTTAACTTTGTTTTGTCAACAAAACTTAAAAGACAAAGCTGTTTTTGAATTAAGAATGTAAAAGCTGTTCACAAGACCGCAATTTCTAGTGAACTTTGGTCACGTAATGTGCTACTTCCTTGAGTACAATGAGAAAACACCCAAGGGGAGAGGGGTGCATATTAAGTCTATAAGGCCAGTCGTATTGTCTTGTTAGGCTAAAATCAGATTCCAAAGCTCCTAATTTTCTCCGCATAAGCAGAAACATGTTCAAACAAGTACAACGACGAGTTATAGAGATACAACGCAATGAAAGTTTGACGGCTAATTATCAACGCAATCTTTAATAGATTATATCAAATTTTGTGGAATACTTGTGACGTAACTGTGGTTTTTTTTTTAATACTCCAACAGGAAGAATATAATTGTGACTAGATTTAATCAGTTTAATCTAAGAAAGAAAGAGTCAGACGTTTCTAAACCGCGAATGAATTAGGTGCGTTAAATCAGTTTCATGACCTTGGTTTTCATTTGATTATTTTGTAATTGTCCATGTCTCTGTGGCCGGTAATTATTTTACTCAATGTTAATAATCGTGAACTAAGAAGTTTGATGTTGAATACACGAAGTTCGTGGCAACTGAAACTTTGGAGTCTGGAGACGAGTAAGGAGTATGTGGCCAATCACAACGACGGATTTTTACTTCAAAATGAATGTGGCGGCTTTGAGCTGCTTTTAAATTCCTCTAGTTGACAATAAACTTCGCTTTTCTCTTCCGTTAAATGGTGAAAATACCGAGAATAGGTCGAGAATAGGCCCTTTGCACGGTCCGGTCACATGGTACAAAATCAGCCTTGCTGGGACGCAAATTTCAAAACAAAGGCGAGTCAATCTGGACTGGTACAGGTTGCTTTGTTTTGGAAGTCCCACGTGTAACTTTCCAACGAACGAACGAACGAACAAACGAACGAATGAATGGCGCTCGCTTTTTGAAGTCACTGTGCGAGTCAAAAAACCGCGAACACTTTCAGTCGATTCCGACAGGTCAATTTTTAAGTTCAGGACACGCGAGCAAACCTCAAAACCACAAATCAAGTACCCTTGATGGTTGCGGTTTAGTTTTCAGACGCCTAATCCTCCGTTAAAAAAGAGATGGCGACTGGTACTTACTTACTTAACTGGTACATTTCCCCATAATTCTTAGCGCACAAAAACTTAAACAACGCTCATAAAAACGTTCAGAAAAGTTATTACAACTAACATCTCCAAACAATGGCGTTAGCGCATACAGAGATGAATAACGCGAAAATATGGTCTGTCCTTGTACTTTATGGGCTGTGTAAGGCTCGCATGGTATCGTGACTATTGTGGTAAAATGTACCGCTGCCATCCTTTTTCCTACGGACTGGTGTTTTCCTCGCTACATAATAGCATTCCGTATATAAATACTTCTGGCGTTAACTGATTTCTGAGTTTCACAGTATAAGTCGATGCAAATAGAACAGGCTCAAGAAATAAGATAAGTCCCGAGTACGACGCGCAAAGCATTAGACAACCGTGTCTCTTACGGATTTTAGATGCTCAATTACACAGCTAATCAGCCCTAGATCCATGCAGCAAGTCGCAGTAGACACAGTTACGTGTATTAGGCCTATTTTAGATTTGTATATCGCAGTGAAAAACGAAGAGTGATTTGTTGATTCTCACGGTCATGACTTTGTTGTTGTTTCTTGCAGACTGATCGTGAGATAATTAGCAGCTATGCATGCGATATCAGTGGCTGCATCATCACGTTCTGGCTATGAAACAGACCGCTATAGCAGAGGAGAAAGCCTAGAATACTACAGCTCGCAGACAGTAACGACAGCGGATACAGGAATAAGGGTTCGCATCAATGTCCGGGGACTGGTATTCGAGACCTACGAACAAACTCTGGCCCAGTACCCCCAAACACTGCTCGGCTCGCCCAGCAAGCGCGTGGAATATTATAACCCGTTGAGTAAGGAATACTGTTTTGATCGCGACAAAGCCGTGTTTGACTCGATACTGTTCTTCTACCAATCATGCGGGATTTTATCGTGTCCCGAACATATCCCGCGAGAAAACTTTCTGGAGGAGATCAAGTTTTTCCAACTCCACCAAGCTGATAAAAGATACAAGGAAGAAATTGAACCAGAGGAGTTAAAGGACGCCATGGATGAACTGCCCGAAAATCCCATAAAGCGGAAAATCTGGAAACTTTTCGAGTATCCTGATTCCTCTATATGGGCGGATTTGCTGGCAAAGTTCAGTTTACTTATTATAATTATTTCTACCGTTACGTTTTGTGTGGAGACCTTCCCGAGCTTTCGACGTCACACAATGTGTCGGGAGGTGACGTCAAACGTTTTAACAAATGATACAAACATTAATAACGAGTCAAATTTTCTGTCGAATAATTCACAAGTGATTGTGCTTGTAAATGAGCGTCACTGTGCAGTTATTGAACGGGGCTCGTACTGGTCGACAATAGAAGCTGCTTATGTCGCCTGGTTTACTTTTGAATACATAATGCGAGTTATCTCTGCTCCGAGAAGAGTCAAATTTATCAAGTCTGCCTTGGGCTTGGTTGACTTTTTAGCCATTTTACCTTTTTACATCACTCTTATGTTCCAAGATGATGGGAACTTAGTGACGTCATTTCCTGTTTTGAGAATTATTCGCCTTGTGCGTGTGTTACGGGTATTGAAACTTTCTCGTTACAGCAAAGGGTTGAAAGTTCTCGCAAACACACTTTTAATAAGCGGGAAAGACCTGCCTTCGTTGTTCGCCGTTTTAGTCATTAACGTGATTCTGTTTTCGAGTGTCATCTATTACGTGGAAAACGACATCAAAGACAATGACTTTGAGAGTATCCCAGACGCCTTTTGGTGGACGATAGTTACCATGACCGCAGTGGGTTATGGAGACAAGGTGCCGAAAGGTGCTTTGGGTAAATTAATCGGAGCTGTGTGCGCTGTGTCAGGGATAGTCGTTCTGTTCTGTTTCCCTACACCTGTGCTCCTTTCCCACTTCGAAGAGATGTACAAGCTGAAAGGGAGCGGTCCGGGCAAGAAAGCAAAAGAGAAAGAAAATCAACAGGACAGCAAAGAAGACGTGGGACAAAATCAAATGAAGGACACGGAGGTCCGAATGGTCGGAGAAAGAGAGCGCATTGAGATTTATATATAATTTTATGTTTCATTATAGTCAAGCGTGAAAGAGTTGAGGGTAAAACCTGAAGTTGAAAAGTTCCGTCAAGAACTAAGGGGAAACGGTCTTTCGCTAAAAGGCCGTTTGCATCGGAGGTGACACTTTAATGTGCCCTGCAAATGGCCTCTTAGTTTATTTTAGGTCTGAAAGGAAGAGTTTCGAAGCTATTTTGTTTTAAAAATATCTTCGCTTTGATCGAGAAGTTTCTCTGTGAAATTAACACATCTCAATGAACCTGTGTAGCGGAGTACGAGCGAAGAGCTTTGTCCGCATTCTGACCGCGTGAAAACTGGGGCGAGAACAAATAATCGACTCAGCAGTAAGTGGTGGGGCGTGGTGGCCCAACCCCACCTCCCCCGTTCGTCGATTTCTTTTGTCTCATCCCGTTGTCACGTAGGGAGAACTTGTCTTTCTATATCAATACTTTTTCTAAGAAATAATTCTCACCACCCACTCTATGGAGGTAAAGAGAGGTTATGAATGGATCAGTTCTTTTCAAAACGAAAGAGTTGGGTGTGAACGTGCTCGTGATCAATCTGAAGTAATTTGCGTCCTTAGAAGTAAACTTTAAAAGTTTTGACTGCAAATGGCACACAAAATAAAATCTAAATTTAGCATTCAGTTCAGAAGAGTATATTTTATTGTTTAGTAAAAATTGAAAAAAGCTAAGTAGAATACAATTTAAAGGCCCGTCAAGGTCTTCTTAAAGGAGATGGAGCAATAGATCAAGCCTTTTAGATGCGTAATAAATTTTATTCAAACAACGATATTTATTTCATTAGTGTTTTATTCAGTAGTAATCAAGTTTTGATCAATGTTCTATCTACTTACTATTAATGGATTGTCTTCATCAAGAACTGTTTACTTTCGATTCCTTGCATCTCAGTAATATTGGTACCATAAACCACAAATTTGCACAGTTCATTCTTCGAGGGTAGAGTCCAAGAAGTGGCAAGTTCATGCCACTTAAAGGGACGACGAGCAGCCCCGTCCTTTTCATATGAGATTCCCTCGGCTCTCAAGATACAAATCCTTCTCAGAGAAATTAATCCTCCGTACCAATGGTCTTACATTTCTTTGTTGCAAAAANACATTTTATAATAAACACATCTGCAAGAATATTACAATGATACAAAAATGGGACTTTTGGTTTTTTTGTCACTGATTTTCATCTTACAGAAGATGGTGCATTCCACATGGAAGAAGACCCTGAACATGAACCAAGTAAGTAGCCTGATAATGGACATTTTATAATAAACACATCTGCGAGAATATTACAATGATACAAAAATTGGACTTCTATCCTTTACGACTTCTTTCACGTTTTCAAGTTGTTGATACCTGTAAGACAGATTCCTTTCTCTTTCTGCTACAAGTCTCTGTCTCGCAGGGTACAAGACTGAAGGTTTGTTTCAACCAGGATTCACTCTTATTAGGAACAATTATAGTAAAAGCATATTTGTAGACTATTGGCTTTTTCAGTAGTTAAAAATAGAATGGAATGGAAAGGAATGATTCCCATAAACTAAAATACTATATTAAAAGAATGTTGAAAAGAATGCCTAAAAAGTGTTGTTTAAATTTCTCCTTGAATTTTTAAGGATCACATTCTACCAATCCAAAGATTTTGGACCAAACAACAGAATCATCAGTAATTCCTCCAAGAAACGACAATCTGGATACACTGCCTGTAAGATTTTATGATGATTGTTATGAACACAACTTACATGCGGGTGACAAACTAGTGAAATCAGTTAGTGCATGTACATGTAGTCTGAACATACAGTCAATGAATGATTCATCAGTGTTTTGATCTATTTCACCATCCAATGTTCTTTTGATACTTTCTCAGCTACTTGCATGGATTTGTTTTATATTTTGTGATGCAATTTGTTCACCATGGTTTGAATTTGGTCTGAATTCGGTGTTGTGGTTGGAAATGCAACTGATACAAAAAAATTCGTTATAGCTATGCACCCACACTCTGCACATGATAAATAATCAGTCTATAGCTATGTGATTGCATTCTACACAGACCTCAGTGTATAATAATGATGTTAACAATGAGATTTAAGATTGACTTTCTGTATGAAGATACGTTTGATCATTGCAGTTATACACACAACTTAAGCAGTTGTGAAATTAAGCAAAAAATTCAGGCCTGAACGGGATTGGAACCCATGACCTCTGTGATACCAGTGCAGTGCTCTACCAGCTGAGCTATCAATCCGACTGGGAGCTGGTCACATTGTCACATTGACTTTCTGTGTTAATAATATATTTTTTTAATAATAATGATAATGATAAGAATACATGCATGTATATATCTATAGTGAAGTAAAGGAGTGGAAAAAAACCTAATCTCTAATCATCTGATATTGGGCCTTACAGGAGAACCCATCACAGTTATCCAGTGGAGACAATATGCTGGAACTACACTCCAGTTACAAAGACGGTTTGGTAACAGTGAACATGACTGAAACAAGAGAAACACATACATGTATGTTAGAAGATCAACATGGGTTATTAGCCACAGCTGCTGAGGGTGAATCCCAGGAACGTATAAACCAGCTGGAAAAGGAGTCACAGGAATGTGACACAGAGAATCAGATTCCCCAAGTTGAATTTAAAAGAAACTCTTCCCATGAGGGTAAACATATTGTAATATTACTATTCTTTAGTTAAGATACTTGAAGACTGGAATATGAACTTTCAATAACTTGACTGTTGCGTATAACAGATACAAGTGTAATGAAAGTAAAGACATTGAAAATGAATATCAAAAGATTTAATTTGATGAAAAGAATACTAAAAGTGTTAATGTTAACATTTCTTGTTCAACTTGATTATTTAAGGATCACAATCTCCCACCAATCATCCAGCCTCTGATGCAACAACACCAACAGACAAATGGACACGGTTTGGTGCCAGGCCAAAGACCAGCTCTCCTTTGAAAAGGACTCCACTAGAGCCCTTGCTGGTTGAGTCTCGGACTTCTGGATTGCCTGATGCAGTACCAGTAGGTTCATCAGAAAGTGGAATTAATGAAGAATTCTTAAAAAGACACTCTCGAGGCAAATCCCTATTTGAGAGTCAACACCACTGCAATACAGAACATGAATCTAGTAACGCTTCATTAATGGGAGCTTCATATATGGAGAGCATGACGAACTTTATTGAAGCTACCAGAATTGAACCATATACAGTTGATGATGAAGTGGCCTGCAGGTCTGACGAACATAACAGATTGAACTTGCCATTACTTATGGGGGAAGATCAGAGAGGTTATGCAGTGGGTGGTTCTACCTTTCGAGAGTCACTTAATGGTACTGGACCAGACTGTGCTCCAAACAGTGATCATCTTCCAAGTAGGTCATTGGGGAACATGGCTCGTGTAGCTGCAGGGAACTTTAATTTGCTATGCCCCTATTCAGCTGGAAGATCTAATGGAGCTTTGAATGGGGTCCTGTCAGAGGCAGAATCCACTGCAGCACATCTGTATGCACCAGAGAATGCTAGCAGTAACACAGCTCCTGATCAAGTGGCTTTGGAGGCAGTTGTTTCTGAACCATGCCGTGCTGAGTCGGCTAATTCTAGAGATTCCATGTCAGACAGAAACACTGTTAGCGACTGCAATGAGATTAACTTGGCACTTCTTGCCTTGGCACAACGTATTCAAGAAGCTTGTGTTGCATCTAGGGAGCGGCAGATTGAAGGAGAACAACAGAGGGAAGCAAGGGTGAGAGCATGGAATTCGAATAGGAGGTTTCAGGGACTGGCAGAAGATTTTATTATAGAGTCACTAGACTCAACTCCCAACAGTGCAAGAGCCCTGGTGAGGAGAGAGGCAGCAATTAGAGCCTCCACAGAAGAGATGAGGTGAGTAGTTATTTTGATTTTTGTAGGACAATTCCTTTCTGAAATACGAGGGGTACTTATTAAAATGTAACTTCTTAAATAGGCTGAAAACTGCAGGCATTTTCCATAAAAATGGATATTCCATTTAACAAATTGATGTCCGTTTTTTGTGTCTGTCCTCTTATTGATGATAAATTGCGTCATAACATTGTGAAAGTGGCTGAGGAACCACGAGCCACAGGCAAGTGGTTCTGCTGTAAACTTTGATAATGTTATGACGAAATTTATTGTTATCAATAAGAGAACAGAGGCATAAAAACTGATGTCAATTTGTTTTTTTACAATAACAAGACCCTAAAATGGTCAAATGCCGGGAATAAATGAAGGGAAAAGACAAGGTAAACTTACCGTCAACAAAGATATGTGAATTTTATTCAAAAGGGCACAAACATCGTCAATAGCTTTTCTCGGGTTTTGATTGGCTACTTAAAAAAGTCCATAAAATCTCTGGATAAAAAGTTGACAGTTTAACAGCTGAAAGTTGAACTTGAAAGCTTGCATAAATTAAAATTTTATCCGTCTGTACTCTTATTGATGTTAAAAATGAGCCAACTAGGGCATGAGGAATTAGACAGTTATTGCATAATTACTCTTTGTTAACACTGTACATGGCTAGCAAAGGCAAAATAGACAATTAGTGACAGAGGTAATGTTCTTTGTTTCATCTTTATTTTACGCAGAGGTCCGTCTTCACATTCCGGACCTGGGGAGCGCAACTGTGTCTGCCTGGAGGTAATATTCAGATAATATTTATCTTTTTGTTAGAATTTATAAACCCATTTCATTTATAAATGAATCTGATTGTTGTTCTCCTTTTATTTATTTGCTGCTAGCACTTCAGTTCACGTTGCATGCACTAGTGATCAACTGAACCCTGACTATGCAACATAATGTTCTGTTGATTTGTTCCCCTCCCCCTCCCCTCCTTGCTTTCTGATCTTGTTTGATAGTGCTGCCTAATGCACTAGTCATATGTGTATGTTATTCAGATACAAGCATGGACACCCACTAAATTTCCATTGACCGATTGCAATTTTTCTCGGAAAAAGCAGTCACTACATGTTGTTTTTATAGTCGGAAACATTTCATTGACTGTTATAGAGTGGTTATTGATTTTTTTCATTTTTTTCATTTTTGTGGAAAAAAGTGAGCCTTGGATAGTCTTGTAGTTGTGAAACTGTTTTAGACTTAAGGATGCCAAGACTTGAAAAACGTTAAAATTATTGCAGGCAATGATGCAGGAGCAGAAAGTGATTCATCTGTAGCAATTTGTGCATGCAGTATTTCATGGATCCAGAGGGCAGTTCAAACATTGCACCATTGCGGTCCTTGAAAATTTGTTGACGTTTACATGTCAGTTTGTTGTGGTTCATTTTCGGCAGAGATTCAAGTTGCTGTCCATGAAGGTCTGTTAT